AAAAACAAACATACACACACTCCAAGGGTTAAACACTCATTTTTATTTAGGGGAACAATAAACAGCAGATTTACTTATCTTGTCCCTCGCTCTTGCAAGCCTCTTATCTAAGGCGCTCTGTCTGTTTGTGCACTCTGACATTATCATGTACAATGCAGGAATAGCAGTCCTGCATTGTTAGTGAGGACGCCGTGGGCTCACCGCAATCTGGAGCATCAGAGGGAAGAGAAGAGGGCAGACCGCCAGGGGAGCAAGGGATAAGGTTGATAAAAGTGCTTGTTAATGGAACCCTACAGAAAAGAGCATTTAATCCTTGCAGTGAAGGGGAAGCCCCACTGTAAGGCTGGGTTCACAACTAGGCATACGGAATATGCGCGGTATTTGTGGTAAAAGAAACACGCGACAAACCCGCGCTTCCGAGGGCTATTCGGCTGTATCATAATGGATACGCACGACAAATACGCCCCAAAGAAGCTCCTGTACTTCTTTGGGCGTAGAGCGCTGTACAGCGCGTTCCTATGCGCTGTAAAACGCCCAGGTGGGAACCATGCCCATAGGCAATTATTGGTTTTCACATGTTGAGCGTTTTACAGCGCGCAGGAACGTGCTGTAAAAAGCACAGGTGTGAACCAGGCCTTAAGGTAGTTTTTAAATTTCCCTGGAGTTCAGGCTTAAATGTTTACATGTAAAATACAGATTTTATCCTCATCAACATTAATACAACAGTTTCAAAACTAGTATACTTATAAAATAAATGTGGTCTCATAAATTAGATAAACTTGACTACAATGGAGTAATAAGCATTCAGGGAGCTAGAAATAAAGGTTTTTGGAAGTAATTTTCCTGGCTACTAATAGCTACGATTTTAAAGCCTGTTTTTTAATTAATATACTTTTTTTTAGGTTGAGAGGACTCGTCATTACCTGCTGCTACGGGAGAAACTGGAATCCATACTTAGGGGAGCCACAGATGCTCTAACTCCTTCTCCTAGTGATGAGATGCCACCACTCAGCCCAACGTGCCAGCTGGTGCAACTCACAGAGGAAGGCTCTCCACAAGTAGAGCAAAACCCTCTGGAGACTGCCAGTGAGAGACAAAAAGAGCTTGCTGCCAAGGTAAGTGTTTTTTTTTTTGGTAGACAAAATCTTACTTAATGCTATTTTAAGGGCTGATATTTTATCTTTTGTCTGAGTGGAACTCTCCACTAAATTCATACAAACTCTGATTTACCATTATCTACTTTAGCATTTGCATATGGTTACTACGAAGTTTATATAAACTAACAATCAATTTGTAGACCTGCGTGCTTATTTATTAAATAGAAAGCATTTTGGGGTTATTTGCTAAACTGAGCCAACCAACCAGGGATCAGCTTTCCTTGTCCTGACTGCTCCAAAGGTAGCTATAGATTCTAGGGGTGGTTGGATTTGTAGTGGGTAAGCTTGTTCATGTGCAGGCCTATGGAGAGAGGTTGGGTAGGTGCTCTGCAGACAACTTTGGCACCAGCTCATCAGTGAGAAAATGAATCCTAGAAGAATTTCTAATCTGCTTAATCACTAACCCTCCCTGCATCTGAACATGCCCAATAGACATTAGGTTGTCAGCCAAAAACTGATACAAAATGGTGTTGGTGGAGCGCTACACTCAAAGGTAATTTAATCTGATATAATTTTCAGTTTTAAGAGGCAGCTCTCTACCATAGGGTTTGTAATAGTGTGTGTCTGTTGATGGGCAACACTGTGTCACAATGCAGTCAGTAAGCCGATACACTTGTAGAGGCTGGAGTCCAAAAGTCCTTAGCAGGGAAGTTTATTGTACTCAGTTAGTGACAACTTTTTCACAAACAGCACTGAGTCTTCTTAAGCCAGCTAGTAACAAAAACACATAAACAAAAAGCCTATCTCTGTCAGAGATCTACCTGAACATAGAAAACAGTTTCCCCCTCACTGAATAAAGGTGTCAAGCTTATCCTTTAAACACCTGCCCACACTCTGTTTAGGTGAGTTAACCCATTTTGTAACTGACCGCCTGTTTCAACCTATTGCTAACATAGTAGCCAGCAATGACCTCACCCTGTGGCCAGTACAATCTGTCACAGGGTATCTCTATGGATTCCCCGAGCAGTCCAAGAAAAGATGACAATTTCACAAGTTTATGATAAGTCCAATATAGATTTAGTGATCTTGTT